TGTTGCATTTATATTTTTGTTCGGTATAGTTGAATAACCCTGTCACAGCCCTTCTTATGATAGCCTTTCCACTCCCTACTTAAATATTGTGGCTTACTGGGTTCGAATCAGGTATCTTGCAATTCACAAGACTGTTAGCCCACTTAGCTAAAGCCTATAAGGTTAAGTTCAGGAAGTTCATGTAAAGGACGACACGCTGCTTGCTTATCGAGTACCATTTCCCCCTGATTCAGCTCATATCGAGACATGAATTCAGGATCTGCCTCGCAAACACGTGACCGCCCTCCTGAAGAGTTCCAACTATGGCCTAAAATGAACACCCGCCACCTGCGGGTAGATGTTGGCATTGGCAGGTAAAATGTATATTTCACCAACCACGTTAGCGGGTGGTCAGGGCTCCACAGTGCAAACATTTCTGAATAAAAAAAGTATGATCACATTTATAGTAAAATAAATGCTTCAGTAGTTGTTTTCAAAGTATTCCCGCCGTTTTGTTTCATAGCTGGTAAATTAATTAATTAATTGCACAAAGTCAAAGAACTACACAAATCCTATATAGCCCATTCCACCTCGCGCTGCAACACTGCCTGGCTGGGGGCTGTGCGCACGAGAAGAGTTGAGTGAAATATTCATTTTTAGAAGCGCTGTGCACAGGCATAAAAGTTGGTCTAATTTACTTTATACTTGTGTTTCTTGGCTATTTACATTGTTTTGTTCAAAAGCTAGGTTGTTTTTCTATGTTTGAGTTTCAACCACTAGGGAAGAGAAGACAACACTTCTACTAGTCAGACAATCTCACAGGCACAAACATGACTCGAGTCACGCTACCACGGTAACATGGCAGGTGAACATTTGTGTCTCATCTGTGATATTTTAGTTAAGACTCAGGTCACAAAACAAAACATTTAATTATTCAATATACCACAGTCACCTATTTCTAGTAATAAATTTGTTTTGAAAAAAAGCATGCTCAGACGTTTTTTGTGTTTTGTTGGTGTAATTTTAAAATATATTGGCTGGTAAATCTGAGTGGCTGGTAGATTTTTTTATCTACCTGCCACAGTGGCTGGTGGACCAAAAATGTACTGTATGCCCTGGTTCCAACCCACCGCACTGTTGAAAAAGGCCAACTTCAATTGCGCAAGGGGCGACACTTCAGGCTGATGATTGAGTTTCGAAGATCCCCATCAGCAACATTCACCCCCCAAACTCACTCCACTGCAACTCCAGTGGTTGAGCTGAGCGCAACTCTAGATCCGAGTCCAGTGGCACCATTGTAAAGGACTGAGACTTGAACTCAGGACTTCTGCCTCGAAAACACACGTGACCGCCCTCCTGAAGCATTCCAACCTATCGTGCTATTAAAAAAGGGCTTCAATTGCGTAAGGGTCAACACTTTGGTCTAAGAAGCGAAGTTCACAGATCCCCATCTGCTTCACTAATACAAGTCTTCACGATCCAGCAAGGTTACTCATCAAAAGAGTGTGGTTTGGTGATCCATGCTTATGTGATGAGCAACCTGAAGGCATAGTTTCAAGTCTCCGGCAAGGTTAGTCATTATAAGGGTAACATGTGACTGACTGGGTTAAGACTGTGTTAGCCTGCTAAGCTAAAGGCATGGGTCCTGTGACTTGGATGGGTCTCTTCAATGAGGAGGTCAAAGGGGGTGAAATGTGACCGAGGTGGCTCTTTTAATGAGTAGCCTTGCTGGAGACTTGAGTTAGCTTCCTTAGCTCCTCTCGATGGGCTTTAGCTAGGTGGGCTAGCACAGTCTTGTGACATGCAGGAGAGCTGGTTCAAACCCTCGATCCTGACTAGTCTCCCAGTCACTGCCGCTGAAAAACATCCCCACAGTATGATGCTGCCACCACCATGCTTCACCGTAGGGATGGTGCCAGGTTTCCTCCAGACGTGACACTTGGCATTCAGGCCAAAGAGTTCAATCTTGGTTTCATCAGACCAGAGAATCTTGTTTCTCATGGTCTGAGAGTCCTTTAGGTGCCTTTTGGCAAACTCCAAGCGGGCTGTCATGTGCCTTTTACTGAGGAGTGGCTTCCGTCTGGCCACTCTACCATAAAGGCCTGATTGGTGGAGTGCTGCAGAGATGGTTGTCCTTCTGGAAGCTTCTCCCATCTCCACAGAGGAACTCTGGAGCTCTTGTCAGAGTGACCATCAGGTTCTTGGTCACCTGCCTGACCAAGGCCCTTCTCCCCGATTGCTCAGTTTGGCCAGGCGGCCAGCTCTAGGAAAAGTCTTGGAGGTTCCAAACTTCTTCCATTTCAGAATTATGGGAGACACTCTGTTCTTGGGGACCTTCAATGCTGCATAAATTATTTTGTACCCTTCCCCAGATCTGTGCCTTGACACAATCCTGTCTCGGAGCTCTACGGACAATTCCTTCGACCTAATGGCTTAGTTTTTGCTCTGACATGCACTGTCAACAGTGGGACCTTATACAGACAGGTGTGTGCCTTTCCAAATCATGTCCAATCAATTGAATTTACCACAAGTGGACTCCAATCAAATTGTAGAAACATCTCAAGGATGATCAATGGAAACAGGATGCACCTGAGCTCAATTTCGAGTCTCACGCAAAAGGTCAGAATACTTATGTAAATAAGGTATCTGTTTTCAATTTTTAATAAATTGGCAACATTTTCTACAAACCTGTTTTCGCTTTGTCATTATGGGGTATTGTGTGTAGATTGATGAGAATTTCTGTATTTAATCAATTTTAGAATAAGGCTGTAACATAACAAAATGTGGAAAAGGTCAAAGGGTCTGAATACTTTCCGAATGCACTGTAAATGCATCTGAGAAGTTGAATATATGAAACTTTGATTAACTTAAATGATAGTTTGTAAACTTTATACACATACAATGAATGCAATCTCTACCATATTGAAACTGAATATATAAATATGGAATTTGAAAACTGAATGCAATATTCATTCAATTCAGTTTCAAATCATGAAATACAAGTTAAATTAATGAATTCAATTATTCAATTTGTGCATAACAAATGAAAAATTATGGAATTAAAATTCAATATCCTAACACAAATTCAAAATTATGGAATTCAAATACAATCTGTTGGCACTGAAATCACCCCATATAAAATACCCTCAAATAAAAGGTGACATTATGTACTGTCGCCTCATATGAAACATTTGATCTCAAATCCAAAATGCTTGAGTATAGAGCACATATATATATATATATATATATATATATATATATATATATTTTTTAATTTCTTCACTGTCCAAATACATATGGAGGGGAGTGTATATGGGCCCTTACTCACTGCTCTCCAGCACCTCTATGGTCTCAAGGCGTGAGGCGTTACTGCTGTCTGTTGTGCCTTAATTTGTATTGTTGGAGCATCTGGTATCAGGGATCTCTATTCTATCTTGCTCAGCCTGGATGCATATGGGTGGGGTACAGTCAAGAAACAGAAGAGTGTAAACACACATGGGTAGACAAAGGGAGTAGAAATAGGTGTTTGTCTGAGTGATGCGGAAGGGGAACAGACTTACCACACTCATGTTGTCACCAAAGTATTGTTGTCACTGCAAAATAAATAAATGACACACACACTGAGGATGTAACAACATTATAGACATCCTATACTTCTTGCAACAAGAATGGCAGATAATGGAACTTGAACTTACAAGCTACAGAACTAAAGTAGCTAAACCTACAGTTAACTGCCAAAATAAAATAAACACCAACATAACGTGTCTTAATAGGGCGTTGGGCCACCACGAGCCAGAACAGCCTCAATGCACCTTGGCATATCTACAAGTGAATGGAACTCTATTGGAGGGATGAAACACTATTTCTTTGAGAAATTCCATCATTTGGTGTTTTGTTGATGGTGGTTTAAAAAGCTGTGTCAGGTGCCACTCTAGAATCTCCCATAGGCGTTCAAATGGGTTGAGATCTGGTGACTGAAACGGCAACGGCATTTGGTTTACATTGTTTTCATGCTCATCAAACCATTCAGTCACCACTAGCCCTGTGGATGGGGGCATTGTCATTTTATGGGGGCATTGCCATGCATGGTAGCTAAAAATTGCCAAAATAATGGCCTGCACTGCATTTTCCATCCCATCACATATACTCTCTCTCTCTCACACACACACACATATTTATACTCCGGACTCCGACATTGCTCGTCCTAATATTTATATATTTCTTAATTCCATTACTTTTAGATTTGTGTGTATTATTGTGAATTGTTAGATATTACTGCACTGTTGGCGCTAGGAACACAAGTATTTTGATACACCTGCAATAACATCTGCTAAATATGTGTACCCGACCAATAAAACTTGATTTCATTTTTATATGACCCTAAGCATGATGGGATGTTAATTGCTTAATTAACTCGGGATCCACACCTGCGTTGAAGCACCTGCTTTCAATATACTTTGTATCCCTCATTTACTCGAAGTGTTTTCATTATTTTGTCAGTACCTGTATCTTCCATCAACTTGGTTAGTAACAACAATTGATTAGTTAGTTAGCGAGCTTGCTAGCTAACGTGAACTTGTTTGGATTTTGATTAGATAGGACGCCGCTGTCAGAAGTGACTTTTCGTAACAGGTTGGGATAATTAGGTTAAGATTAGGGTAAGCTAAAATGCAAAAATTATCCCCGACTCGAATGGCTTCGCAAGTTTTTACGTCACTTCAACATTAGCGGCATCCCTTCTAGACATGACCGTGTTCAAGAGCATCAAAACCGTGAATGATGTATCATGGGTAAATTCTGACTGACTGATCTACAAATAATATTGATAGTGATTTGTAGCTCAGTCAGTCTCTACTCGCTGCAATTTCGAATGCGCCCATTGTCACCCAGCCATGCAATTTCGAATGCGCCCATTGTCACCCAGGCATGCAACGCACCCATGGGTATTCTTGAACATACAAGTTACATTCCAATGTGATGATAACTAAATAAAATCAAACATAAGGAAATAAAACGCATAGTTAAAATATTTGGGTTCACTTTAATTATACAGTGGCATAAGAGCACAACAAAATATTTGTATTGTTGCATTATTTTTTGTTTTCAACTTGACATGCTCACATCCTCTTGATAACAGTAGCAGTAGTAGCCTTAAAAGTAAATACAAAATGCATGTTGTACTTCTTATATGAAATTAGGGCTTCTCAAAGACTTGGAGTCAACATGCAATATGGTCCTTATGCTAGGAGATGAGTTGATGTCTAGGCCTTGAGTATTTTCTTCTGGAGAGAGTGTTAGGAGCTTCCTGCTGGACCTGACGCTCCAAGCTTCGCTCCAAATTGGCCCAGTGTTGTTCCTCCATTGTTTGCTGCTCTCACACACACACACACACACACACAGCGGATTGGGATGAGAGCATGATAAGTTGGTTATTGAACATCTAGCAAATCCAAACACAGCTTGAAATATTTATGTTTATGCTTACCATCCTGTGATTCCAGCTATTGAGGGCATGAGTGGCAGATTGCTCACTAATCTTGGCTTTGTTTTTCTCGCGCTGCTTCAGCCTTTGGCGCTCCTGCTGCCTCTCCTCCAGCCTTCTCTGCAGAGCCACCACCCTCTCGTCCTCAGCTACTCCCTGCTGCAGCTCCTGCCTTGCTCTCCTCTCCTCCTGCCTGCCTCACACCATATGCACATTAGGATACTGTACATCTCAGACATGCCTTGTGCGTGCATGCCAGGTATGCAAGCGTCTTAGTTGCTCTGACCTGCGTGCAGCAGCCTGTCCCAGGGCTGTCCTGTGGAGTGCGATGGTGTCTAGCTGCTCCAGCAGAAGCTGCTCCCTGCTCTTCTTGTCCTCCAGGATGCGCCCCCTCCTGTCCTGATGCTCTCTCTGCTCTGCATCCCTCAGCATGGCCAGACGCTCCCGCAGCTCAGCCAGGGACATCTCCCCAAGCAGGTCATGTCCTGCTGTCTGAGACAGGGAGAGGTCAGAATACAGTATATTGTTCATCATAAAAGTCAAGTCAACCTTCTCCTGACAGAACCCAGCAAAATGCCTTTATACTCTATTACAGGGATCATCAACTAGATTCAGCCGCAGGCCGATGGTCGGGGGGCCACAACTTAATTACAAATAATTTGTAGACTGCAAATTAACCGCAAGTAGCCCAAACAGATATAATATTGGAATAAAACATAAATCTTGTTTCCATTTGCTTATGATCACGTGTCTCTCTATTATTCGTGGAAATACTTGGGAACAGATTTACCAAATTAAAATCACTTGAAGCTGATTTCCTGGTGTTTTTATAAATATATTTTTTTATTCGAAAACTTGGGGGGGCAAATAAAACCACCTGCGGGCCAAATTCGGCCGGCGGGCCGCCAGTTGGGAAACCCTGCTCTATTATGTTGGCAAGATCCATTCCCCTGCTCACCTCTGTTTCATCCACAAACTTGTGCCTGATGAGGGGGACAGACTCAATGGTCCGGATCTGACGGATGATCTCAAACTTCCTGCTCAGCTCTGCCTGTGCTTCCTCCAGGGCCTGACGAAGGAGTTCCCGACTCTGCTCCGACACTTCCTTTACTGGAACACAAACGTACACAAAAGCACACAGAAATGAGACCCCAATTCGCCAAGCACTGTCTGTTGCACTACAACACCAAAGCAGGTGTAATTGAACTAAGGATGAGAAAGGGTACATTATGTAGGAACGGGGTGATGTCATGCTATAGTTTAGTCACCTATACGCTGTTTGAACTCCTGCAACTTCACTTTAGCTGCTTTTGAGTTTTTGTGTCCATCTGCCACCTGTTGCACCAGGTCTCTCATCTCTTTCTCCTCCTGCAACCGCTTGTTTGCGTATCTTTGCATCAGCTTGGCAGTCTGCAAACAATCATAAACAAGACAGGCTCAATCAAAAACACAAAGACAGGAACACTTAATATAGCCAATGACCTTTTCTCAACGATTCAATGATTCCAAAACTGGATAACACTATGAACACATGAACAATGAACTCTAATAACACACACCTCTTCCTTCTTTAGCAGTGCAGTCTTCTGGTTGCGCTCCATGATGCGGGTGCGGGCGAGAGCAGCCTCCTCGTAGCTGATGCGACCCTCCAGACGGCGACGCTCCACCTGGGCCAGCTCTTCCTGGAGGTCACGCTCCCGCATCTCCTTCTGCCACTGTAGGAACGAGGAGGGCTCGCCCGCCCCCTCCACCAGCTGCTCCATCCTGTGTTACAGTAACACAGACAGCACACATTATTATACCTCTCCACTCTAGCTGCCGTCATAAGTGTCCCACTAACCCAGCTAGTTTTCTATGTCAAATATGTCAACTATATAGTTGGCATAGTGATTCATTCCTGAAGTACAGTGGCACAACTGATATATGAGGCACAGATGTAGGGATTATATTGTGTTGTACCTGCGTAGTTCCTCCTCCACCTGACGGTTATACAGAGCCCCCTCCCGCAGGATGGCCGTGGTGTTGAGTCTGATGGGCAGGTTGTTAGGCTGGTGGAAATATACAAATACACATGGGTATATGCACATAGACAATTGTGTCAGTCAGTTACTGTATATTATTTCTGTATCATGTGAGAGCTACCTTATGGGTGGCTGGGGTTCCAGAGGTGTGGAGTGAATCAAACTTGAGCTGGGCGTCATGGCTTCGTACAATCTGAGACATGACACTCTGTAAATCATACAGTACAGTATGATTCAGCATGGATGGAAACAGGATACCCATATAGAAGAAAAAACCTTGAAGCAAGAACATTTATTTGAAAATCTCTTACATGGAACATTCACCTACCTTGGTGCGCTCAGACTTTTGTGGGTTTGCACACTTGAACTGTTGAGTATTGGCCTCATACAGGACTTGCTGTGGGTGGAAAAGGAAACAGGGGTTTATTGCATGTATGAGTGCAGGAGAAAACTACATGTGTCAAAATAAGATACCAGACACAACATACCTCTGCCTTCTGACGGTTCCTCTGTTTGACCTCCTCCATGACCTGCTTCTCTTTTGGAGCACTGTAGGTGCTGGTTGGTACCTATGAAACAATAAGCAGCTCTCACTATGAAGGTTATAAAAATAGAATAGCCTATCTATTATGATATTGTGTCAATAAGGTTCTGACTTTGGACCTGAGAGTTCAATGTTTCCAAATAAAAAAAGCACCATTGTGCAGTGGTAGCCCACATTAAAAAATACTATAGTATACTATGGTATTCACTGTAGTGTTTTTGCAGGCTTTACTGTAATATTCAATGTAGTGTTTTTGTGGTACAGTGAATACTATAGTATAAATAATGTAGTAAAAGAACTGTATTATACACTATAGTAACCCAGTATCTCTATGTGCACATCATCTTCTGCACATCTATCACTCCAGTGTTAATACTAAATTGTAATTATTTTGCACTATGGCCTATTTATTGCCTTACCGCCATAATTTACTACATTTGCACACACTAGATTTTCTGCTATTGACTGTAGGTTTTGTTTATTCCATATGTAACTCTGTGTTGTTGTTGTTTTTATCGCACTGCTTTGCTTTATCTTGGCCAGGTCGCAGTTGTAAATGAGAACTTGTTCCCACCTGGCCTACCTGGTTAAATAAAAGGTATGTAGTCTTTTTGTAGTATATTGTATTATTTACTGTAGCATTTTTGCCAACTTCAACATAATGTAGTGTTTTTGCAGACATTACTGCAGTATTTACCATAGGGGTTTTGTTTTATTATCTTTAACATAGAAGTGGGGGCTTTTTCCTTGAGGAAACCTACTGGAGAAATACTAAAAGAGCACATTTTCCAGAACCTGTAGGCAGGACTGGGAGCTGAACATATAATTCAGCGCTTCCGTTCTTTTCTATAACCTGTATGGAACACAATATATGGTCTATACTTGGCATGTAAGCTTCTCGCTTATGGGTGGCACAAATTGGGATATGGGGGAGGGGAATGGGCAGGGTATATGCAAATTAAATACTGTAGTATTTACTATAGTTTAAAAAGTGTGGTGTTTTTGCAGACTGTAGTGTTTTTGTGGACATTACTGTAGTATTTACTACAGGTTTGTTTTCTCTGGATAATACTGTAGTATTTACTATAGTGTTCTACAGTATACTACAACATTCTATAGTAAGTACTACACATGATCGAGTGTATAGTATTCTACATTATACATACTTTTATAGTAAATACTGTAGTTTCTATAGTAAACTGTAGTATTTTTTCATGTGGGAGCCTATGGTAAAACCAAAACTTGAAACTGACCGGCTGGTGTTTCTCCTGCAGGGGGATGGGCTCAGGTGCAGGGAGAGGGCGAGCTTTTGGTTTGGTAAGTGAAAACTCCTGGGGCTCAGTGTTTTTCTTGGTGGCTTTCTTAAATTGACTCCCTCTAGACATTCTGGATGCAAGCTGAGCCATCAGAATCTCAATCTCAGGGCGCCACCTAGTGGGTGATAATTGTATATATTAGAAAAAGAGAGAGCAAAGAGCAAGACAGCAACAAGACATCAAAAAGACAACAACAAAACAATACAGAATAAGTGGTGATTCAATGTCTTTAGGTATAACATAAATGTCTTTACAGTGCTGTACCTTAGCAGTGGGATAATCCAGTTCCTCTCCACATAGGCAGCATCATAGATCTGACTCCACTCCCCCTGGATCCAGGTACTGAGGTTTGTGATGTTGAAGAAGAAACTCAGGAACTGCCAAATCATAATTTATACTGTCATTCACAGTTCATGTACGGTTTCATTACATTAAAGGTCCAATGCAGCCGTTTTTATCTCAATATCAAATAATTTCTGGGTAACAATTAAGTACCTTACTGTATTGTTTTAAATTAAAATGGTCAAAAATAAACAAAAATAGCTTCTCAGCAAAGAGCAATTTCTCAAGCACTAATTTAGCTAGGCTTGTCAGGGAGTGGTCTGAGTAGGGATGGGAAAACGGAAAACTAGCTGTTATTGGCAGAGAGGTTTGGAACTCTCTTTCGTATTGTTCTATTAGCTAATATACCGCCTGGTGATGTCACCATGCAGGCCAAAACTTCATCCAACCAAAACATACTGACATTTCTGGCAGTCTTTTCAAACAGCTCTTACACTAAAAGGGTATTATCATTTTCACAATTTCACAGTATTATTCCAACCTCATAGTGTGGAAATATATATAAAACACAGGAAAATCACGTTTTTGACTGCACTGGGCCTTTAATAGGCTAACATTTTTGACACTCAACTTAATGACACAAAAAATACCACACAGATGACCCCCTCTATATAAGGGTGAGCGACTGGATTGGCAGAGAAAGTTGATTTATTTCATGAGCCATAACATTAACCCAAACTGTGAAGTAATTGCATTGTTGTTGCATCCTAACATCCGAAGTGTCATTAGATCACAGAAAATGTAAGTTTCTCACTTTGTGCATCTTTGTAATGTCCAAAGAGTTGACAATCTTGCTGAAGCACAGCAGTCCAATGTCATCAATGAGGAACATGCTGAAGTAACAGATTACTGTGGAACACAAATATAGCAAACATAGAAGAGACAAATGGTCAGATCATGCTTTTGAAAGCAATGCCCCCCCCCCCCCCCCCCCCCCCCCCCCCCCCCACCCCTCCAGCATTGAAATGGAATTCCTATTCATTCATAACAAATTTAAAACAACAACAAAATCAACATTATCTAGAATTCTGAACTTGTTGAAAATAATGTATGCTTGAAATTATGTGATGAACTTACTGGCTAACTGGTTACGATCAGCCTTCAGTAAGCATTTCCCATTCTGAGCATAAAAGACGTTGATGACAACATCCAATAACTTTTTTTGCTCAATGCATCCAGAAATTATATCCAGTATAAACTTCCTATCCAAGGCATCCAGGTTCTGGTGGTAAGAAAGACAAACTGACTGTTATCTGAAATGTATGTAATACCGAAGCGGTAGTATGGTATAGATATACAGTATATGGCTCTGGTCTGACCATTAATTGTATCAATGATCTCCTTTCCCTATCTTTATGCTACATTATAGGGCATGACATTAATTAATCCATCACATCACATACACATCACATCCAGTTACCTCCATGGCCTTTGAAGCATCCTCTGTAAATTCCTCCACACACTGTTTGTCTGCATTGAACTTGTCAAGGAGCAGAGTGGCTTCCTTGATAAGTGCTGCATAGCCTTTTGCCATCTTCTGCTACACCTGAGCACAACCAAAGTAGGGACAGACTGGCATTAGGGGAAATTAAAATCGTCTCAATGGATGAATGAATGAATGTGGTGGGTGGATGGATGGATTGAGGTAGCTACCTGATCACAAGGACATACGACAGACACATAGATGATATCCTACTGGTTATTAATAATAAACGTATCAGTGATGTTGTAGTCTACTGGAGGCATTTTCTGGCTAGCAAAATGTGTCCATGCTTGGACCCTTACCATGGATGTCGCAAAGCTTTCTTGAATGAATTCAACGCATTCCTTGCAGGACTAAACTGTTGCCGAATAGTTGCTTCATGAATCAAAGGTCTTTAGCAATGTGAAACCCATTTTTTCTCAAGGTGTGTCTGTAGCTTCAAAACAGTTCCGATGTTTGGTCGTTGCCAAGTAACACAAAACAGCGGCCAACAACATAATGATCATTTTCACATTGTGACAAACACACTGTTATGACATCAATGAAATGTTCATTTTTGTATTTGTGACATAATAATAGTGTGTTCCAACTACTTTATGAAAATAATGTACCAAGATTTTAGAACAAAGATCCATTTCGCTTGACATAGAATCAACAATGAATATGACGTACACTATAGTGACGTATAGCGCAAGCCAAAATGCCGCGTTCATGACATCAAGCAAACTCGAAAACTTTTTGCTAGCGCTTCCTATTGGTTGATTCTGATTCCTTCCAAGTAACTCGGACCTCTATGCGGGGTGATCAGTGCCAGTTCGAAACTACAATGCTGAAATGCTAAATAGGAATGTGAAAATAATAAATGCATTTATATTTTCATATCAGTGCCCATGATTCATGCCACAAAAAATTGCAATGTTAAAATGAAATTATGAAATCGAACATGGCTAATTGAAAATTGGAAATGGAAATTCTAAATGAAAATGGTAAATGGTTAACAGAAAATGGTAAATACAATGTCAAGTCTAAAATCTATGTACAGAGAGCCCGACATGGCTAGGATGCACAACTACATGGGGGTGTGGTGTTACTCTACTGGTTCACGCTTCCAATAAGCAATTTGCATACACTTAGAAAATTAAAATGGAAATTGAAAAGAAAAGAAAAAATGCTTAATTGTGTAGTTGGAAAATGAAAACAGACACTTTCAATTTCACTTTGCGCATTGCATTTACGATTTTCTGTTTACCATTTGTCTTTTTCTGTTAACCATTTCCAATTAACCATTTTCTATTTTCATTTTAACTTAGCAATTTAATTGTGGCATGAATCATGCACACTGATATGAAAATATAAACGCATTTATAATTTTTACATTGCTATATATCATGTAACCATGTAATCATGTAATCATGATCTCCCTCCATAGACCACGGCTTTCTACAACGAGTTTCTGAGTTCCCAGTTGTCTTGAACGCGGCATTTCCCTGGGAAACTGGGTGGTGATGTTGTCAACGTGACTGTCATCAAGCAGAGGGAGAGAACAGCTAGGGAAGCCATCCGTGGATGATTGCTTGCTTTATCCGGTTGGACTTGAAAAGTGGCAGTGAGACACCAGCCAACTGGGGATTTTGTAGACATAAAAACACAACGTAAATTTTAAGGAAATTAGTTGGATATTTGAACTCTTTACATTACAATTTCGGTTATCGTATTGGATTCAACATTTCCCACCTTAGCCACGTAGGTAGCTGGCTAGCATTGCTAGTCTCAGTAGTAGTCTGTCTCGCACAGGTAGAATAACGTTAGCGGTCGGTGACAAAGGAGGGGTAAGGTGGCGAGGTAACGATGAATCGGTTTCGAAAGTGGCTTTACAAGCCTAAGGTAAGTTAGTGATTTTATTATCCTGCTAGTGCCAGTAATCTATGTCATTAGCATATATATTGTAGAAAATAGCTAGCTATAGCTTGCTATTTTCCCACACAGTACAATCATTATGTTGATGCATTGCATGTATCTTGTCTTGACTTGGGCTAGCTGTATGTAGCTAGCTAGCCTACATGCTAGTGCTGTCTCTGCTAGTGTTATCTTATCGTCTATAAAGTTGTTTCTTTCAGTCTGGCATTTAGGTAACTGAAGCTATGCATTACGAATGGCTGCTTCTCGAAGTAAATTGTCATCAACCGCATTGCCGAGATTGCTCAATACAGAAATAAATAACTTTCATTAAAATCTCGAACTGTACCCTACATATTTTGTTAACTAGCTAGTTATAACGTTAGCTACTTAACGTTTCAGTACAAACGGTCATATCACTCGGACACAGAATTCATTTAATTACTGTTGTAGTTTACAAAAAATCAGATACAGTAACAATTCAGCCGACTGAGAGAATGCATCCGACAAGATAAATAAATCAGACTGTGATACCAATTCTTGGTATAGGGTAAATCCATTTGAATTCAATCACTTTTTGACAGCATCCCTTTTTAGTTGAACGAAACCTTCCATACATATTTGCTTTGAAAGTGACTGTTTAGATCTGAATGCCAAAACATTCAAGAGATAAAGGTGTTCAAAGTTGACCTATTTTGCATACCCCACCATACCTAGTCTGATTAATTAGGCTGTAATGCACAATTTTGAAACAAAGCACTGCAAAAACTTAGAAAGTTTCCTCACAAGCCATTATGTTGAATAAAATTACATTTAAACTTACTCTATCGGTTGTCTGTGCAGTTGGTCCTTCAGTGGGTCGAAATTTGAGACAGAATATCAACAGGAAAGTATTGTTTACCCAACTTTTTAGAGAGCCTGTAAGTATAAGGTTTGGCATGCCACATAGGTAAAGTTAGCTTTATATTGGATATTAGGTTCTTTCATCAATAGCTATTGAACCAAGCATTGTATAATCTGAATCAGCGGAGGATGGAGAACAATCCACACCTTTTTTATTTTATTGTAATTTGTTGAAGATTTAAATAAAACACACAACAACAACAAACCTGCCAGCGCTCTAAAAAGGCTGGTAAACAATACTTTCCTGTGGCTATTTTGTCTCTTCGAGCAGCTGAAGGACAAACAGCACAGGTAGAGTAAGTTTAAATGTAATTTTATTCAACATTCTGGATTGTAAGGAACATTTACAAAAATTTTCAGGCATTAGTTTCAGGCTGTATATACCAATAAATTGTGTATTACAGCCAGATTAATCAGACTACACCATACCATGAGACATCCATGTCTTCATCACTGGAAACGATAAATGGTTGAGATTGGTTTTTGTCTTGTGCCCGCCGTCAGTTGAGACACAACATGCTCTTGAATACAGGGTGGGTGTCATGTTTTGATTAATAAATGTAATAAAAGGGGAATAAAATGGACATTTCAACTTTCAAATGGTACCACAAAGATGGTTGGAGGTCCACACATCAGAGAATGTTAACTTGAATTGGAATATCTGTTGTTTTTAAATTGTACTATCAGCCCTCCATAGGAAACCTATTGAAATCATAGAAATATAGATAATAGAATAGACATGACCATTTAAGTTGACATTTGACGGTGGGTAGACCGGCGGCCATCTTTGTGGTAATAATAAGTTAACATTTAAATTCAATTAAAATGTCGATGGTGTACCAACTAAATTGCAGTGGTCTGAATGAAATGACACCCACCCTGTATTCAAGAGCATGTTGTGTTTCAACCGATGGCAGGCACAACACACAAACTTCAGATGATGTAAAGTAGGATCTAAACTACGACATATGAGAAAAATCAGAGTTTACGCGGTTTTAGGTTAAGAAAATGTACATTTTTAGATTATGATTATTTTTTCAATAAATTATAAAATAGTTTCACAACCCTGTTTGTATGCTTTTAAATTATATCAAACTTAACCGTTTATCTTTTCCAGTGATAAAGATATGGATTTCTCATGGAATGCAAAATGGGTAAACTTTGAGCACCTTTATCTCCTGAATGATTTGTCATTCAGGTCCAAAAAGTCACTTTCAGACCACTTCTTCCATGGGAAAACATGTATGGAAAGTTTTGTTTAAATCAAACAGGAAACTGTCAAAAAGTGATTGAATTGACCCTACACAGTCTGAAATAAAGCACTGCAAAAACTTGGAAAGTTTCCTTACAAGCCAGAATGTTTAATAAAATTACATTTTAACTTATTTTACCGGTTGTCTGTGCAGTTGATCCTTCAGTGGGTAAAATTTTTAGACAAAATATCCACAGGAAAGTATTATTTTCCTGACTTTTTAGGGTGCTGCCGTTGAAATTTCTATCATCTGGCACATGCACAAAACCATGTACGTTCCTGTGCATAATTTGTCTCAAATTTCGACCCACTGAACGACCAACCCCATGGACAATTGGCAGAGTATGTAATTGTGAGTGGATATGCTTTACAATCAATGGAAAGTATCGCCAAAGCGGGACTACCGACAAAAGTGATTGCATTCTGAGGCTATCAACCCCTATGCATTAATTACTCCCACTACATAGCTTTTGTTTGTGACAATAAATACTATTTTGTCTGCTAAGATATAAGAATAAAACACTTGATTGTGGAAAGAAAGGAAATCTAAGAACCATGCCAGATGGCCTAACATCAGAATTCACATTGAATGTCACTACTTTGCCCGTGAAGACTCTCCCGGTAGGGCAGCCCCACATCAAGAGGGATGGGTCTCTCCAGCTTTGAAGTGCCGATAGACACTTTGCAGAGAGAAGCACGCGCCTGTGCCTGTGGAGAGACGGGTCCAAGCGGAGTGAAGTCACCCAACGCTGGAAGTCTCTCATGAGGAGACCAAGTGGAACTACCACAATCATGGAGGCCATGAGCCCAAGAAGCCTCAGATAAATCCAATACATGACTGATGTTGCCGGGCAAAACACTGAGAGGCCGTGACGAAAAGCCGTCGCTCTCTCCATGGTGAGGGCTGCTCGACAGGCTACGGAGTCCAGAGACAATCCAAAAATATTTTCTGCTGTGTCAGTAAGAGCGAGCTTTTGGCATGATTTATCCTGAAGCCTAGAGCGAGCAGGTGCGACAACAGCTGAGCTGTGTGCTCCACTGCCTCCGCCTTAGTGTCCACGCAGATCAACCAGTCGTCAATGGACGTCAGGACTCTTAAGCCTCTCTCCTGTAGTGGGGCTAGGGCGGCTTCGGCACACTTCGTGAATGTCCATGGGGCAAGGGACAGACCGATATGGTAAGTTGAGATATTCATAGGCTATGCCCTTGAAGGCGAACCTTAGATATCTCCTGTGTGCAGGATAAACTCAGATGTGGAAATAAGCATCCTTGAGGTCTACTGTGGTGAACCACTCGTTCGGCCAAATCAAATCTAACAGCATCACTCTCGGATGCTTGTTGAGGTGGCGTAAATCCAGGATGGGGGGTACCCCCCTCCCCCCTTTTTTGGGGACCAACGAATAACGGCTGTAGAAGCCCTGGTGAGCTTCCTCCCTTGTCACTACGCGTACGGCTCCCTTGGCCAACAGAGACTGTATCTCGTCTCTGAGGACTCGGGCCGCTTCCCCATGTGCTGTG